GGCAGGGAGTCTGCTTCTCCCTCTGACCCTCCCCCCTCTCATGCTCTCTGTCTCTCATTCTCTCTGTCTCAAATAAATAAATAAAATCTTAGAAGAAAAAAAAAAAATTTAGATCAGAATCATGACTTAGGTTGGAACTATAACAGTAAGAGGGAAATGGAGAATCTAAGCTAAAATCTGTATGGTTCCAGCCGACGTATCATTTCCCTCCAAGTACACAGATAACTGGGGAAAGGGAACAGAGGGATCAATAGTGAGGTGAGTTATCTACTCTGACAGCTTTGAGATTCGTTAAAGCCTAACTTATCTTAGAATTGATATCTGCAGTATTATTTTTACCATGTGTTTGAGTATGCTTATTATCATAATAATTATATTTGTTCAAACGTAAGATAAAAGTTTTCATTTGAAACATGAAAGCCTTGGTTTCCCTTAGATATTGGATCAGAGAGGTACACTTTCAGTTTTACCATTCGGGACTCACCAACCCATTTTGTAAATGCAACGTCCTGGGGCAGCGAAGGTTACATCAGGTCGCTTTCTGACAGCTTTAGGGTTGGCGAGTGCGGTAAGTTGGCATTGGTTCTGGGACTGTTTCTATTATAGTATTATTCCTGTGATATATTTGTGGGAACTACACTGAGGGAGTCAAAGTAAGACACAATTTATAATTCTTAAAGTTATCAGAAAAAAGTCAGGCATTGAGAGAATAACACAAACATTCAGCATTTTATTGCTTGAAACATATAAATGTGATTGTTACATATTTTTACTAGGTAGCTTTACGATCTTTGGTTTTTTTCGTATTTCAGTTTGCATCAATTCTTGTTGCTATCACCATTTATCTTTCAGTAAACATAATAAGGCTGCTAAATAGCTTTTGATAAAAGAAAATATTTGAATTTTTAGTAGGAGTTTAAGAAGCTTTACTTTCAAAATACCAAATCTTTGGCATCCTTTACCCATCCCAGGATCCTTCTGATGGTACAGTGTCGTATAAAAAAACCAGGGCTTTGAAAACGGATAGAACGGATTCAGATCCTACTTCCAATATTTGTTTACATCATGGCTTTGAGAAAAGTGCTTAACCTTGTTGAGCCTCAACTATGAATGAGTACCCTATAGATTTTGTGGGTGTCAAAGGAGGTAGTATGCCTGGTATGAAGTGTAGAAAGTTTTCATTCCGTGGATGGCAGCACTGGCCTCATACTGGAAACAAGAAAGCACGATACCAGCTCTCTTTCGTGGTAGAAAAAAGAAGGGCAAGAGTAATGCACATAATTAAACCACTCTCCCAAACTGCACAATTAGGCAGGTTATTACCTGTCCCTGTCACTTAGCACCTACTCATACATTTAATGCCTCATATTATGAACTTGCAGGGTTGTGTGTTGTTTCTCTCTAACTGAATAATAAGGTACTTGAACATATGGACTGTGAAGGCAGAAAACTTTGTAAACTTCACAGGGCCCAGTACTACTAGAAACATTCTTTGGATGAATGCCAGTGTGATAGTTATATGGAGCTAAAGATATATTTTGGTATTAAACTATAGGTTGATGTTTGTGAGGATGAATGAGGTAAGGGATCTTAAAAGCACAAAGTTGGCAATAATTTTAAATCTAAATAGGATCTTAGTGTGGAGGTGTGTAAAGATTACAGATTTTTGATTCAGAACAACTATAAGTCTAGCCCTACTAGTTTCTGGATATAAAACCTCCAGCAAGTTATTTAACCTCTGTGAACTTCAATTTCTTCATTTGTAAAAAGGGGTAATCATGGAATAGTTATGTGAGGAATCAGCAAAACAGACACAAAAAGGTCTAACAAGACCATAAGGAAACAGAACCCTTAAAATGTTTAGCCATAAGCCGATAAGTTGTGGAGCTGGAATCTGGAGCCAGATTGTGCATGGCTCTTTCTGCCCCATGGCTGTTGTTTCCAAAGGCAACCGTGAATTGGGTGAAGTTCATTTAAAGTATATGTTTTATGGAAGGGCAGGTCGTAACCAGATCACATGTTCAGTGTAACTAATCAATTAAACAATATCAATGCAGGTCATATGTTGGGATTTAAACACAAAACATAAGAAATGTCATCTGGGATCAAATTGATGGTCAGACCCAAGGATTCTGAGGATTCCGTGTCTCAGTGACACAAGGAGAGGACTGGGAAGGATATGCTACGCTGACTCAGAAATTAGAAATAACATTGTAATGTTCGTCGTGATGTATACTTGTTTTTACGTATCTAGTTACTTTTTGTAATAGCATCATACTTTTCCTTCTGTTGCAGTGATAATTGAAAATCCCCTGATTCAAAGAAAGGAATTAGAAAGAGAAGAAAAATTCAGCCCTGCAACTCCTGGGTAAATAATCCAGCACAGAGCCAACAGCCTTTGTTGTGTCTGTGTGTCAGATTAGCAGAGAATTTACTGAGGGTATATGCTTCAGTTTGAAAAATAGGAGTTTAATTCTTCCTCACAGTATTTACCTTTGATTATGAAATAATTTATGTTGATATAGGATTACGTGAAAACATGGCTGTTTTTAGTACTTTTATTCTCAGATTTAGAAAAAAAAA